AATATAAGGGTGCCCGGAAATATTAGAATCGGTAGTAAAATATTAATAGTAATTCAGATATCGTGAGATGCGGTCGGGTGTGATGTAGGTTTCAGAAAAACATTTTCTTTATCGTGCCAACGTTTCGATCTTTTATTGAGATCATCTTCAGGGCTCAGAGTGTTTGTCTTCTGTGTAATTGTGCCATCCTTGTGTGTCGTGTTGAGAGTAAAATATTAATTTTTTATTGCACTAGTTTGTATATATTCTGATTAAACCGTTGTCTGATTTGACCTTTATGTTCAGTTGTGCAGTGGAAGGAGATTGCATCGCAATAAGTCGTTTTGTGCACTAAGCACTGCCGCTCCTGGAGAAAACTACTGAACTGAATATCCGGTTAAGATTACACAGTCGTGATTTGTCAGATGGGTGGCCCAGAGATAAAGTCTATCTATTCAGATATTTTCTCCAGAATTCAAGACCGGATGGACTTTTAAGAAAGATCGACTGTTGGAAAGTGAACTCGTAGAAAATATTTTACGATTTGTTGAACTGGAAGTGTTCAGCCCTTTAGGATTTCAAACTTCGTCTATAAGTATTATAGAGTACGGCTTGAAGTATTATACACAAAATAAACCGCTTTGATAAATCGGAATCGTTAGTACGGGAAATATCCTAAGGGATGAATGTCCTTTCTTTTTCCTCAAACCGCTTATAACCCGGAAGTTTCGCCTTCCGAATAAACCTCCCCGGTCGAGAGTAAAATTTTGAAAAAGATCGAAAATTTGCCCACCTCGAAAATGAATAAAACGTCGAGATGCTGGCTGAAAAAAGAGCAAAACTAGCGGATATGAACGTTTTTCATTTTAAGGATACTAATTCTCGTAAATGTGTTCATACTTATTTTGTTAAAACTGTTTTTATTCACAAGAGTTTTATAAAAATCTAGTGAAGACTTTGTCCAGGGAGAGAATAAACAATTAGTCCTTAACAGGTTTTCCCTCGATTTTTCAAATTTGTATGATGAGGAGTCAGCGACACTAATGACCTGGCCCTAAGGTTGACAATTTGGCCAAAAAGGGGGTCCAGAACCCTACTGCGGCCAAGCAGCCTGCCACAAAAGAGGATACATCTCCAAATGGAGCCTTTGGACAATCCAGTCCAAAACCTGGTGGAACAATACCACAGGTATGAAGCACGTGAAAATATTCATAGAAGGACCATCCGCAAAACTTACAAAAGAATTTCTGGAAGGCAACCGCCAACCAGGATTCTGGTTGCACTCCTGACAGGACACTGCCACTTAAGAAAGCATATGCACCAGATAGGAGTACAGACAGAAGAAACACTGTGCAGATACTGCCAGGAATAGGAGGAGACCGCAGAACACATTTTATGTTTCTCTGAAGATTTATGTAGGTGCAGGTTATTGCAACTAGGATAAGACAAACCACAAGCAAGATCCCACACCAAGGAACCGCTGGCAAAGCCGTGGAGGCTGGTTAATAACCTGTAACTGGCCAGTGAGTTATAAATAACAGGGGAGCACAATATATCTATTCAAGTCGTGGTACAGTAGGTCTTGTGGCCGCCTCTTTTCTCCCGATGCCCTGTCCTATGGCGAGGAAACAATTAGCTGACTTAATAAAATATAAAAAAGGTACAGCGATTCTCCAAAATGGTAGGTGGATGAAAACTAAAGCCTGTATTTTGGCTGTTTCCGACCCTTTTTGCCAGAAATTTAGAGAATTTAGTTTCCCCGTTTTAACTGTAACTGGCAGAGTTGGGAGATGTGTGTTATTTGTAATCGTTGGTCAAAATAGCACATAAATAATCCGCGGTGGTTAGTTTGGTCAGGTGCGACAATCCTGGTCAAGTAAGTATAAAGTATCAACACCCAAACCTACCGATCAGACCTAATTAACCAAGCCAAATTAGGACAGGCAGACCAGGATAATCGGAAACGACCAAACTGCAGGGTTCGATCCGCAGAACTCAATAAGAAACGTCACAAAGAAACTAATACTGACAAATTTCCGAGGACCTGGAAAAGGCGTTATTTTTCAACCGAGACCAGCGATGGTTGAGCAGACAGATGCCCTGAACATTGTACAAAACCGACTAACTATTGAGTACTGAACAAACTGTCTGAAGTCAAAACAAATATTCTAAAACAACACTAACCATCAAAATCATTTCAAATCTGGTTTAGTTTCCAAATTATTAAACTTTTGTAGGCAAAACTTCATCGAAACATCATAAACGTTTGTTCAAGCAAAATACTAAATTGTGATTGGTTTATAATTTTTATGTAAAGTTTGTTTGACATGAAAAATTACTGTCGCGAGCGGGACTCGAATCCAAGACCTCCAGTCTGTACCGCGGTGCTCTAACGACTTGAGCTATCGTGACAAAGTATACCGGGGTATAGAACGGGAGATTGGGTTCGAGTCCGGCTTGTCACACTAATTTTTCATCTTAACCACGCTTTATATAAAAATTATGAATCAATTTAAAACATTGCTGGTACCAACTAAAATAGATATCGACTAAATTGTGAGATTTTTCCATGTGGACTGAGAGGACATGAAATTTGGTCATTACCGATCATTTCGGTCTGCCTATCCACTGTAAAAAAAATCAAACACTGAAAGTATGGAAATTCTGAAACACGTCTGACAGGTCAAACCAGCGAATACATGCAGATTAAAATGATGGACCAAATTACAAAAAACTTAAATTGAAAAATTTGAGTAATATGAGTAATATATAATAGCTTGTTCCACAAGCATTTGAACTTACTGCTTGTGCTACGATTTGCTTAAATTTAGGTTGCAAACAATAGAAATATTCCAGCAAACAGCTAATGGTTGTAAGCATGTGTAAGTCGAGAAGTTTCGTAACCAATAGCACACTCAACACTAGCACGGTCTAGGGTTGACTGGTGTACAAGGCCCTATTTCGTAAACACTTCTATTTTTAAAACTTTTGCTTACTCACCAAGAATTAGTAGTTAATGAAAGTGTTCACGAAATAAAATTTAGGAAGCAAAAAATGTTGAAGGATCAAAAAGATCGTCAAAGCAGGATTTCAATTTCATCAAACTATTTCCACCTAGATGATTTTCTTTTTACTTATGTTTTACTTTATAATCCACGGTGGTTAGTTTGGTCAGGTGCGACAATCCTGGTCAAGTAAGTATAAAGTATCAACACCCAAACCTACCGATCAGACCTCATTAACCAAGCCAAGTTAGGACTGGCTGACCAGGATGAAAACGACCAAACTGCAGGCTTCGATCCGCAGAACTCAATAAGAAACATCATAAGCAGCCTTCTCGTTATTAATCGCAAACGACACACAAATCTTACCTAATACGTTAGGGGTTTCAAGCATGCTGTGTTAAATGTGCTAAAGACTTGAATTGTTGGGTCTTAAGTATCAAAAAATACTCCACACTAACACCTGCTATTTCGTAAAATACTTTAGGTTAGATTTTGGTTTAATTACAAAATGTTAGTCGCCCAAAAAGGAACTGCTCACAAAAGAACCTATAAAGGCTGACAAAAATTGATTAGTCTGTCATGGTCGACCTCAAGGTAGTTTGATATCACGTGTTTCTTTACTATACAATTTTACCTAGGTACAGCTCTTTATTTTTGTAAACTTGTTCAAGTGAAGAGTTACTAAAAAATCTAAAGAAACAGAAAGGAAGAAACAACTTGGATTAAGAAAGAAAGGATCAAAAAGGTCACTTTTAAACAAATAATCTAACAAATTTTGACTTGTTAAATTATTTTATTATAAAAAATTATTATTAATGAAGCCTATAACCTTCATAAATATATGAACCCTGGTAGTAGATTGAAATCGTAAAAGGTAGTTCATGTTGTTTGAACTATCATAATAGAGCAATAAAATAATTTAACACGATACTTTTTACTACATTTTTTAAATGTTCAAATATTAAAAAACTGATTTTTTAATGGTATTTTACATGTAGCTATGTTTTAAGCCAGCTGGTCGCCCTATTCGCTTTAAACTAGAAAATTTAAGCACGAAGCCTTCAGGACGTCGATCGTTTTCTCTGTATCGTTTTCGGACCTTGTCAACGTGTATATTTTCGGGGCAGTCCGGAGTCAAAAAACGAAGGGCACCTCGCAAAACTGGAACACTGGAATAATCAAAATGTATTTTGCGTGTTGGCGGCCCTTGCGACACACTTGCCAAATTCCAGGCACACACTCCCCCCTCCGTAGATTGGCAAACCGCCTCAGGCAACCAATCTCTTGGTCAACTCTTTTGTTCTTTGAACTGCTGTAAGTATCCCTCCTCCTATAGTCGTCTGTGGATGGACGGCGTATTTTTAACCGCTACTTCCTTGTCAGTGCCGTTGATTTTCTTTTCGACTCAGCTCGCATTGTACTTTTTCAAAATCAAGATGTAAATTATGAAAACTCGACGCCTTCTCACCTTTTGACTCTTTTGTCTCAAGAATATTTAAACAATACAAAAAAGAAACACGCTTATTAGGGTTTTTGAAATTTCAAATCACGATCTTTGAAGGTCGAAAAATCGATTTGCGTACTCGCGAAGATGTCTTAAGCAGGAGGAAGACAGGGAAGGAAGGTGAGGCAATTTGTCCTCCGGAGGCAGACATTGGCAATGCTCTCGAATTAGGTCTGTGGGCAACCTTGACTTGCTTTCAGATAAGTATGTGAGTCCCAGTGCGGCCTTGCGTAATTTTAAACCGACTAGAGTAGAACGGCCGCATCCTTACGAATGTCCTGTTTCACCTTCCGCACGCCAAAATATCGAAAAACAATAAAGGCGAGATAATTGGTATTTGTATTTCATGAAATCATTTAGTTGATATAATCTGGCGATGCTTTTTTATAATTGACTAAATACAGTGTAGACGTGTGAGATAATGATCATCCTTCAGGCTATGTCGTTCCCGATAAAATGCAATAAGAACACTTTTACTTCCTACTTTGACTTTTTTCCTTAATATGTTCCAGGCCCCATGCATGCCTAAGACACCAGAAGAGGCGAGAGTCGTTGTTTGGAAAACGAGCGGTGAAGCTCTGGGCGAGGCGAAAGCCAAGTTGGCCATGCTGGTCAAAGCGACCCAGGCATCTGCGACCACCCCTGAGCAGAGGTCCTGCGCCGGGAGGAAAGTCGGATTCGCCTTCCAAGATGCCAAAATGAGAGTCCACCATTGTAGCTTGGTACAATTCGGCCACGACCACGGGATGGACGTCGCATTCACTGATGTCGAGACTGCGAGGAAAGTCGTCACCGAGGAATTATCTAAGGTCGTCAACAGTGTCGTCAAAGACAACGAACAACTTTTTAAACAATGCTTGGCCTAAATGTGATCTTACGTTTTCACTTAAAGATATTAAATAATTATGAATTAATACGTTTCTTTTTTTATTTCTTTCCCCCAAAATCGCAATCTCTTTTATCCTCAATCGCTCCCTATCACTCAGTATATGTAACATTTTGCTTGTTCCCTCCTGTATAATGTCAACACAACTCACGTTAGATGGAAGAAAAATCCATGAGACCTAACTTTGCGTGCTTAAACGAAATATTTAATCTATCAATCAATCAATCCTTCTCTCTCCTTCACCCTCTCCCAAACTCTCTCTCCCTCTCCCTCTTCCACCCCCTCTCTCGCACTCTCTCTCTCTCTCTCTCTCTCTCATTCACCCTCTCCCAAACTCTCTCACCCCCTCTCCCTCTCCCTACCCCACTACCGCCCCCTCTCCCATTCCCTCTCCATCTCTCTCTCTCACTCTCNATTTATTTATTTATTTATATATATATATATATTTGTCTATCTATCTATTTATCTATCTTTATCTATCTATATATCTGTCTATCGCTCTATTTGTAAAAAACCCTATGTAAAAATATCAACGATTTCCCGAATAGTCTTAAAAATAACCTCTTATGCTAAAAATTCACTATCTTAAACTTAGCTTCTTTTGTTGTTTTTATATTAACATTTAGTGACTAGAAGTTTTATTTCTACATGCATGTTGATAATTTATAAATCATGATTTGTACTGAAATTTATAAACAAAGTATTGTATTGAAAATATTTTTATTCACTTATTCTATTAGTAGTTTACTTTTCAATTGCTCAATCTTCTATCTATCTCTCTCCCTCTCTCGCTCTCTCTCTCATATACACACACATTCTCTCTCTCTCTCTCTTTCTCTCTCTCTCTCTCTCTCTCTCTCCCTCTCTCTCTCTCTCTCTCTCATACGTTCTTAACTTTCCACCTATCAATTTATCTATTTACCACGCTTTTTGCTTTCTCTCTATGTGACCCTCTCTTCCTCTATCTCTATTACCCTCCATCACTGTCGGTTTCTATTTTTCTTTGTGTGTGTGTGTGTGTGTGTGTGTGTGTGTGTGTGTGTGTCGCCTTTTTTCGTTTATAGTTAAATATATGATAGTGATGATTGAATACATTTTTATTGATCCAAATTAGATGTCTTGAAAAAGTGTCAAATGTTGAAAATGTTGGTACCTCGAAAAAACTCATCCTAGGGTACTAAAGATTTTAATCGATTCTAGCAAATCAAGCGATAACGTTCCAAGGCTATAAATTAAACAACACAATTCTATATGATAATTTTCACCACGTGTAACTAAGATAATATCGTTAAAATAAAACGTGTGAATACTGAAAGCGTTTAAAAGGAATTTAAATCGTCAGTTCAATTGCGGAATCGATCCTCAATCAGGTATCAACAGTTTTCTCTTTTTCCGATGAGGTGTAGACAGCTAATAATTTCCTTCCTATGGCCAAGGGTGATAAATATTACCAGGGTGATGGAAATAGGTCGTGCCCCATTTTATGTTTATGAGGGTGGAAAAAAAGACGTTTCCGTCGACGATTAGTGACGCTTTCTAGGGAAAAGCTGACTTTCACCCTGACGCCCCTAAAAGAAATTTGAACCCTGCTACTGTTCAAAATGTCCATAAAAATGGATTCGTTTTTGTTGGTGTCCGTTTGTTCGCCGCCCACAACAGTTTCACCAGCTTTGAATTGTAAATTTGGAAGTGTCATAGAACGAAATGACGCTATTAACTTTGTGTATGTGACCAAAAGCCTTGTATGCACTTGTTAATTTCGCCAATTTGTACCGCCGCGTATGAATGCTTTGTTTTACTCTGTGTCAAAATGTTTGAAATGAAACGCCACATGGATTATCGGCCAATTTGTTGTTTTTCATCAATGATCATAAAAATTATTCAGATTACCGTGCGGGTCACCGACGTTCGCTGCTCCCCATCGTTGCGTGGTTTACTCACTATTTACCCGTCTTTAACACAAGTCTGTCTCTGTTTAACCGCCATTTACGAGTTTTTAAAAATGGATTAGGATCGAGAGAACATTCTTTTAAATCCCAGAGAATTCAATTCAAAAACAAGACGCACTGGAAGCATTGTGCAACCACCAAATGAAAAAACAGGTAGAAAATGCAAGAAGAAGATTGAACATCTGTTGGCAGGTCTTCAGTGAAGAAAAATAAAGATGAACAAGAACAAATTTACTGGAAAATTTCACGGATGGAGCGAGGAGTACTCTGATTTCTTCTTTCGACTTGATACTCGTTACATACACTGTGGATGCGCGTTGATACGCGACGGCGATACGCAACTGTCAAGCGCAACAAGTAGATACAAGGCCTACTACGTCGTGTGACTGTGCAAACAACAATTTTATTTATCTTCATATATAATTTCAACCAAACCAAAACAGTTTTATTTTTAAGTCAAAATTGTATTGTTATGAAGTATGTATCACTAAATTATTAGCAGTTCCATCGGAAGCCAAAAATCTTGGGAAAAGTCCATTAGAGAACGATTTTAAGATGTGACACTGAAAGCTAGAGAGTAAGTGATTAGCTGCACTACTTTTTCATCTCAAATCACGATCAGATCAAAGAAATCCCTTCATCAGTTAAGTGAAACAAGCAAAACTGTAGGCTTTGTTAGACTTACCTAGGTGAATCCCCAAACTTTTCGAAAAAATAATTTCCATTGATGTAAATTAAATATTTAGTACTCTTAATAATGTCAGAGTGTTGATAAGAAAAACGTTTATACTTAAGATTAAAAGAAGAAGATTTTAGCACTGACTGAAGAAGTAATTGTGAAGAAAGATAACCAAGACGAATTTCTATTGATTTCGGCCAAAAAGGCTAAAAGCTAAATTAATTATTAGCTTTTATATTTTTGAAATATTTTTTGAAAGATTTCCGTTAACACAGCTGCTTTCTCTGGCTCCAAAAAAGACCAAACCAAAAAAAATGTAATAACGATTCAGAACAACAAGAAATGGAGGAATTACTTAATTGACATGAAAATGACGTGAGGAGTAAGCCCAGATGTATGCATTTTACGATGGACATAGTGGTCTCTGAACGATGGCTGCAGAGCCTTTCGCATTACCTCAATCAAACTGGGACTTTTATGTACATAGACATAACAATGTAAAAAAAAAAACACATAAATACCGAGATATTCGATGTGATATGATCATCTAAATGTCATGGTTAGATTCACTAATTTCGTGGTCCGCTTGACCAATTAATATATTACAATTAATTAAGGTTTTTAGTTGAGATAAAAAAGTCAATGGCACGGACGGGATTCGAACCCACGATCTTCGGCTTGATACGCCGCCGCTCGATCCACTCGGACACCAACTTCCCATCTCAACCGCACCTTTTGAATTTTCCCTTCTTTTTGCCATTTTTCAATTTTTGTTTCCGAGTGGATCGAGGTCACGATAGCTCAAGTGGTAGAGCAGCGGCGTATCAAGCCGAAGATCGTGGGTTCGAATCCCGCTCGTGCCATTGACTTTTTTATCCCAACTAAAAACCTTAATTAATTGTCATGATTAGTTTTGCCGCTTTCAGTATGTCGAGATCGGAGTGTAAACTACAGAGCTCTCGTGAATTCACGATTTTGGTTTGTGTTGCAAGTATGATTCATATCTCATAGTCCAAGTAAGTAGAATAACATGGAATGTCAAGTAAGTGCGTCGGTTAGGTGAAGAGTGTATTGGGAGCATAGACATCGAAGTCTGCATAGTAATGAACTCCTGGTTCGGTCCTGTAGCATAATTTTGGTCTGCTTATTCTTGATGTGTCAATCTGTCAGACTTATTGTTCATCATAGAACGATCTAAAATTGATATACTTATAGTTTTAAGGATACTAAGAAGGAAAATTTTGTACAGGATTATTAATGTAATTATCATATCAATGGAAAAAAAAGCATCGGTATATCAGATATTACTGATGGTCATCTAAATTTGATTATTAAAGGTGATTTGGTTGATTTGAACATGGGTAGGATTTTTTCCACATGGAGTATGTCGAGATAAGAGTGCAAACTAAGTAGCTCCCGTGAAGGCACGATTTTGGATGGTTTATGTTGCTAGTATGATACCATATCTCATAGTCTAAGTAGACCGAATGACATCGAATAATAAGAACACAGGTGACACCTCGGTGGAAATTAAAAGAAACCGAAGTTGCTATTGAGCAGTTTTTAGACAAAATCACTAGCTTACACTCCATACATGTTTATGTAGGTGTAGTCCGAGGTAGTTATCTATTTGCTACAAGTATATACCTGTCGACAAATCAAAAAAAGTTTTTTCGAGGGACAAATATTTTTGACCAATAAACGCTGGTTTTTAATATAATAAATTAAATTTTAGAAGAACAGAATTTAACAGAAATTAACTTTTTGATTATATTCAGATCATAAATTAATTAGGTATTTCATATATGCGAATATATCGATTTTTGTGTGACTGAGATATTTCGGTCTGTTTCCTTTCAAAATGAATATGTACTAGACGAATAAAAAAAATATGTCTAGGTTAAAAAAGTTAATTATTGGTCGAATGATGTCTCTGACATTCCTTCTTCTACTTTTATTTTTTAGCGCAAATTATATGGCAAAATTTATGTGTATTTCAGTGCTATAATTCAGTATATTTAAGGTTTTATTAGTGTTAATTATTATTCGAATGATGTCTCTGACATTCCTGCTTCTTCTTTTATTTTTTAGTGCAATTTATATGGCATATTTGATGTGTATTTCAGTGCTATAATTCTGTATATTTGAGGTTTTATTAGTGTTAATTATTATTCGAATGATGTCTCTGACATTCCTGCTTCTTCTTTTATTTTTTAGTGCAAATTATACGGCATATTTGATGTGTATTTCAGTGCTATAATTCAGTATATTTGAGGTTTTATTAGTGTTAATTATTATTCGAATGATGTCTCTGACATTCCTGCTTCTTTTATTTTTTAGCGCAAGTTATAT